ACCGGCCACTTGGGCACAGAGCACAGAGAGATTAGCGGTGCGGCAGACACAGCCCCAGAGCAGGGAAGCGGGAGGGAGACTGCCCTCCTGCCATGGGTCTCCGCAAAGGTCTTCTCATGAGACGTTTCTACAGGTTCCAAGTACTTTTTTCTTTGAAGACCCCACCCCAAGACAATAGTCATATTAAAATGTGTCCATTCCCCATATTAAATATAATACTTTGTTGTCAAAAATATTTTTGTGTTTTTAAAATGCTATTATTTTGATTTTGCAGTCTTCATAATTTGGAGTCAATTGTTCCTACCTCCTTCCCTGTGGGCTCCAGTGTTGTCATGGGCTCCTGAAACCCCACGGGGCCAGGAGGATGAAGAACTGCTGAAGTTGGGAATGGTGTCATAGGTCTCCATAAAGGAGGGTATTTCCCCAGCAGAGGGGGAGCCGAGTCCTTTCCAGAAAGAGGAAATAGTGGGAGAAAGTTCAGGAGCAGTCTGGGAAGAATAAAGAATTCAGCCCTGGCCAGAGGCCGGTTGGAGCGAGGCCTAGGAAGACAGGTAGTAGACACATTTTGGAAACTGTGGAGTTTGGACCTTATTCTCCAGACCACGAGGAGCCATAGAGGGCCTCTGAAGAAGCTCAACCTGTCCAGGATACCACAGGCTACAGGTGGGGCTGGTCTGGAAAAACTTCAAGGAGGTGAACCTAAAAGTTGGCTGTGAAAACCAAACCTCAGGCCGGAGGCTGGCGCAGAACCCACGTACTCTCTGCACAGGCTCAGCCCTGTTTCCTCCGCCTCGCTGCTCTGCAAGGCCCCACCCACTTCCTCCTCCACACGGCCCGGGACACCGCCCGCTCCTTCTGCCTGGTCTTCAGCAGTCCTGGCGCGTCTCCCTGCCTGGCCTTCTCCGCCCACATTTCATTCACTATTAAATTTCCTTTGCCCCAAACACACTTCCAGATAATTCACGTTGCAGCTTCTCTTTCTACCATAAAAAGGAAGTATCGTATAGAACTTTAATGCAGTTCTGCTTGTGTGCACCAGACCAAGTCCTGCGGCCGTGACCTGAAGGTTAAATGGACAACTACGCAAAACCGTGAGCACTCAGGCGCTAGAAAGAGACACAAGTGCCCCTGAATTAAGATTGGTGTCCTTGGGGGCAACCTAGACACACTTTTGGCCATGAGGACCAGGGTTTGTGGCCAGACCAGGCTGTCACAGAGGCGCTTAGCTGCCCCCAAGCAGTAGAATGCATTCTCCAGGGACTCTCCAAGTCAGTCCTGGTTAACTTTCTCTTTTCAACATTTTCAAATAAGAGTGAGTGAAATCAATCTGGGGGCTGGCAAGCCACCCTTTTTCTGATCCTCTGATGGGAAATGTCTGACTTGGCAATAACCATTTTTAAAGGCTTTTTAAAAGATTTATCCTTGGAAAACAACGATGTCCAAAACAGCCATGAGCTTGCTAGTCTTCCAACCTGTTTCCCCACTGTTTCAGTGTTGAGGGCTTCCCAGGTATGGTGGATTTTGCATGAAACCCTCACTTCTCTGTAAGGGGATTCAGTGTGGAAACCGTCCACTGCAGTCTGCCAGCACTGGCCCAGCGCCCAGTGACGCGCTGCTCGGAGGTAGCAGAGTGGGCAAAGCGCCACAAAACCGGCCCTACGCTCTGATTCTCCTAACAAAACAACCATCCCTTCGACACTCATTTAATCTCTTCCTTTTTCAGTTCAGGTCCTGAAACGCGGGCGCCACTGCCCTGCTTTGTTCTCCTCCTGCCTGTGCTTGGAGACCTCACTGTTTCTGCCGAGGCCGGCTCCAAGGGCGCAAGATGGTAAAGGCCGCTCGCAGGGAAGGTTTCCTTGGACTCAGGGCCCCAGATTCTCACCCTAGGATGGGTTTCAGGTAGGTCTTCTTAGAGAAGTGGGTGGCTCACTTCCCTGCTGCCTCTTCAGTTTTTGGGAGGTGCCAGTGAACCTACTGCAAACAAAATGAGAGTTCTTCCCTAGCTGGACTCTGCCTACAGTCCCTAACTAAATAAAGACTTTCAAAGCGCTCCGCTGCTCCAAGCCTGAATGGCATTTCTATTACCTCCTCCACTGAAGTCAAAATTACAGACTGTCATTTTTGGGTTTTATCAAAAATTCAAGCATTAAATTATACCCACACTCACCCATTAGTAAATTCTCTTTGTAGTGGGTGTTCAAGTGTCTTATAATGACTCTGTCTCTTCAACTTTCCATCTCTCTCAAAATATTAATGAATTCCACCTTGTTCTAGAGTTTCCCATCTAGTTTGCCTTCTAATTTCTTGATGTAACACAAATTCGATTTTATAAGTTTATTTTTCTTTCTCTTTGGGAAAGGAAAAGAAAAACATCTTTCTTTCACAGAGTTACCATTCTTCCCTGAACAGTCAGAAAATGATGGATGAGGAATCACCTTTCAGGTTTCCAACTGTCTTTGAGCAGAAGTGGATCTTCAGTGGCAGACAGATTGTATTCTTCTGGGGTATTTAATCATTTTTTGCCACTTGTTCACATTTGATGACAACACTGATGTTCTGTGGCTTTCTATGTATTGACTGTTTTAATCTTCACAATATCCTATGGGGTAGGTTCTGTTATTGTTACCATTTCACAGATGGGGAAACTGAGGAGCAGATGTCAATGAACTTTCAAGACCACACAGCTAGCGAGTGCCAGGCACAGGCTGGGCCCAAGCAGCCAGGCGCCAGAGGCCGAGTATCTGCCAGCACTTTTTAGTTTATGAGTAAGAGACTCAACTCAAAATAGATGGGCAAAAAGGAGGAGCTTGTTTCGTACAGAACCAATCCTTGGAAAGAACAGGACAGCCCCCTGAGACAACTGAGGCTGGGAACTTGAGCGCCCTCGGGACTCTTCATCTCTGATCTCTGAGTATCCATCCTTCCTGTGGGCTGACTTCTGCCACATGACTGATGTCAGGGCCACCAGTCATTCCTTAGCTGACACCCTCTCAGCCTCACAATGAAAAGAACACTTGTGCTCCCAAGCGCAAATTAAAGGAAAAGAAAAAGAGAGAGAGAGAAGGAAAGGGAAAGGGAAAAGGAGAGGGAAAGGGAAAGGAAACCAAAAAGGATCCTGATCCGCCAACTTGAGTCACACGCCCAGGGACTGAATCAGTAACTGTGGTTCTTATGCCAGGAGGATGAGGTGCTAGCATTGCTTCAGCCTGGTTTAATGCCCACCCTTGAATAAGTTACTGGGGCGGGGGAGTTAAAGTAGCCTCTAAATTACATTTTAGAGTCATGAAATAAGAAAAAAAAATTCATTAAAAGATGGGGGGATAGGTTTGCCACTGGAGTAATTACTGCAAGCTGAAGAGCAACCTCGAAGAAATATAAGGTGCAATAATTACTGCCCAGTATAATTATTGCCCCTCATATTTCTGCAGAAGATAAACAGGTCCACAATTCGGCAACTCCGGACTGCAAGCCAGCAGGCAGCTGGGACGGCGCCCTTTAGGTGGGCGGGGGACGGGCTGCCCCGCGTTTACGTTCCTGCCTGGCCCCTGCAGTCCCCGAGTTTGCGGCCTGTGGTTCAGGGCGTCTCCAAACAGCACATTCGATGCCCACCTGGCGGGGCAGATTCCGCGGTCACGAAGGTGGCCTTCCCAGGGCGAGGCTCGTCCCCTGCACCGCGGACCTGCCGACCCCCGCGACCCCCCAGTGCGGGGAACTCGACTGCGTGTTCGCGGTAGTTGGGGACCCCGTTCGCGCTATCCCACGTCTTAAAAAAAAAAAGCAAAACGGCACATTCGGTGGCTGGGATGACCAGCGGGAGCACCGGTGCCTCCCTCGGTCTGGCTCGCGGCCAAGTGAGAAAGCTCGCCTGTGGAGCGAGCGCGCCAAGCGAAGGGTCCAGCCACCAAATACAGTTTTCCTGACAGAATTGCTCAAGGCGCCGAGAAACAAGTTTGACAGCATGTGTGTCAAGCAGAGACAAGCACGTGACACCGCAAAGCCGATCACCGCACCCCGCGTGAGCCAGGCGGCTGTGCGCTCTCCCCGGCCCGCGGCGCCCCAGGAGAGCCCGCCCCGGGCCCCGCGTCCCCCGCGCCCCCGCCCCCCCCGCCACGCGCCCCGCGGCCCCGCGGCCCCCCCGCCCCGCGCCCGGCGCCCGCGCCCCCCGCGCCCGCCCCCGCCACCGCGCCCCCCCGCCCGCGCCCCCGCCCGCGCCCCCGGCCGCGCCCCCCCCCCCCGCCGCCTCCCGCGGGTCCCTGCCACGGCCGCCCCGCGGCTCCCGCCACGCCGCCCCCCGCCCGCGCCCGCCGCCGCGCGGCCCCCGCACGCGCCGCGCACCCCCGCCGGCGCCCGGCACGCGCCCCGTGCCCCCCGACGCCTCGCGCTCCCCGCCAGCCGGCCGCGGCCACCCTCGCCTCCGCGCCCCGCCCCCATGTACCCCCCACGCCGGCCGCCCTGGCGTCCCCGCGCGCATGCCCGCGGCGCCCAGGGCTGCCCGGCCGCCCCGCACGCGCCGCCCGCTCCCGCGGCCCCGCGCCGCCCTGGCATCCCGTCCCCCCCGCCACCAGCGCCACCCCTCGCGCCCTGTGCGGCCTCCTGCGCCCGCCAGCCTTGGGACCCCGGCCCGCCCCCCCCAGCCCCCCGCGAAGTCGCGGTGCGCTCCACACCTGGCCGGCCGCCCACGCGACGACGGCCCTGCACCCCTGCAACACAAGCCCAGGCCGCGGAGCCACCCGCGCCGCCCCGCGCCCCCCCGCTTACGCCACCCAGCGCTCCACACGGCCCCGCGGCCCCTCGCCGGACGTCGCCCGCGCTTCACTGGCCCCCCTGCCTCCGCGGCGCCAGCCCCGGCGCGGCCCCGCCGTCCCGACCCACCCCACGGCCGCCCGGCGCCCTCCCCCAGCCGACGGCCACCCCGCGCTCCACACTGCCCCGTGCCCTCCGCGACGCCACCCCGCGGGCCGGACACCCGAAGGCCGACAGCGCCCGCCGCGATGCCGCCGCCTTCCGCGCCGCCTGCCAACCGCCTTCTGTTGGGCCCTAGGAATGTACAGCCCGTTTGGGAGAGAGACGACCAACCGCCCAAAAAGACTCAGAGTCCAGAGGCTTGATGCAAAAGGGCAGGAGGTTTTATTTCCAGCGCAGCCCAGGGGCGGACAACATCACCGAGCTAGGGGAGCTGCCGCGCCACTTTCAAGCTTGGGGGGTTTTTTATAAGCTAAAACCGCAGCCGGTGGTTAGGGAGTTTAGGGTGGGGAAATTCCACTGGTTTTGTCTTGTATAACTGGTTGCACTTAGTTCCTGGAACTTGTAACAGCTATAACAGCTATTTCCTGGAAGGGCGGAAGGGGTGTGGGGTCTTGGTTTTCTAAAAGCAAGCGTGGTTACAGAAGCAGAGAGCTGGTTAGGCTAGTTTGGGGTCTTACACCCTCACTTTGAGAGAGAACAGTTTGTCACTCCTTGGTTGCATCCCGACAAAATCTCAGCTTCAGCTTAGGTTTAGACTAAGATCATCTGTACAACCCCTCATTTTGCTGATATTTTTAAAGCAGAAAAAAGTTATTATTACATCCAACTATTGGCCAAGAGTGAGAATGGGTTTTAATATTCATTTTTTCTTAGTCTAAGTAACCTGTGCTCAAGGTCATTCTTAACCAATGATTATCTCATACCAGATTAATCCATCCATCCCCCATCCATTCACCCATTTCAGTTAGTCAACATTTTGTTGAGTAACTACTATGTGCCACTCACAAACCGATTTCTTGCTTTTCCCAGCCACAATAGTTATTTAGGTAAAAACATCTGATCAAGAAAACACATCTTTTTGACATTTTCATTCATCCCAGTGACATATGGAATCAGCTGCATCACAAAACACAGCTACTCCGCAAAAATCAGTTTTTAAAACAACCAAAGAAGCAACTCCACTCTGCAGTCAGTAAGTGTATCCCTGGGCTCAGTCAGAGTTTTCTGAAGAATATGATTTCCAAATCTTTCAAAGCAATTTTTAGTTGTGGAGTACAAAGTATAACTATATTTCTTAAAAACACACAAAAGAAAGAAAAGAAGGGATAGAGAAAGAGGCGAGGGCATTATAGATGTCCCTTTGCTAAGGCCCCTTTGCTCCCTGTGCCTGTCGGTGCCCTCCCTTCTCCCTAAGGCTACCATCGTTGTGAGGTGAGATTTTCAGACATTTTATATGTATTTATACACATATATACAGTAAGATACAATGTATATTAAAATACATACAAAATAATACCACGTGTTTCTCCAGGGGTAAATATATATGTGTATATTCCCTGAGTTTTTTATGGCAAGCAATTTCAAAGGTTTACCCTGGTTTCAGCAGAAATGAACAGGGCACGTAGGTCATTTGTTCCTTGCTTTTTGACATAAATGTAAAGTTCCTGGTTAAACATCAGTGCTTTAGTGGCAGCAATGTCTGGGCTTGGGACAGAACGATGGCATAAATTTGGAGAAATGTAATTTGCCCAGATAAATTAAAATTTAAAGCCACCTGTTTCCACAGAGGGCACCAGATCACAAATCTCCCTGGCGTTCTTCCCTGGTGGGGACAGGGTTAGGAAGGCAGCGCGTCCCCCCGACGGCCGCAGGCCGAGCCTCTCCCCAACAGCCGCTTGCTTTTGGCTGTGCTCCCTGAACAGAGAGCGGGAGAATTGCCACCAGGGAAAAATAACCCGGACGAGAGCGAGTCTTAAAGCACGGGGCTGTCACTGTATCGGGCCCAAACTGGAGGTGGTCAAGGCGTAGGGCTTCAGACGCGCTGTCACGCTTGCTGGCACTCGAACTGGAGTCTTTTAGCTCTTCCCTCACGTCATTTTTTCATTGTCTGTTCTCTTCTTGCTTCGCCCTGGTAGTACTGATCATAATAAATTCATCTGCTTTTAACGGAGAGTTCATTCTCCTCCCTCTGCCCCAACTTTATCACCAGCTCTGCACCCAGGAGGATTGAGAAAGCTTGAATGTCAGACCTTAGCAATGACTCAGCCGTATATTAACATGGGGAATAATTTCCAAATTGAAAGTCACACATTTAAGCTTAAAAAAAATGTGTCTGAGTTATAAATCAGCAAGATTTATGGATATATTCAGGTAACCTATGTAAACATAGGTTTCTGGGCCACCCTGAGAATCCGTGTTAAATTATTCATCCCTACAGCAGATTTTCCAATTAACCCAGAGTGGTCTTCTTTAGAATGATTTTCTTGAGAGTAATGATTATATTGTATTTTTTAATACTTTGTGTCTATTAGAAAGAATTTAAGCAATGCCAAATCTCTAAAGAAGGAATTAAAAGAATTACCCTACATCTAAACCCCAGAAATAGCTATCATTAAAATAATTTGAATATTTAAAAAGTTATAAGAATATCATTCTGAACACCTCTTTTTCTTTTGCATATATACAAACAGGAGGCCAGATGAAGCAAGGAAAATATATTTCCATGAAGTAGATAATACATGCTATTTTTAAAAGCAAATTTAATTTAATTTTACTTAAATTTAGTAGGAAAGATTGACATTAAACTGAAAAAAGTTTATGAATTTCAAGGAACATTTTCTGTACTGCCAGAGATATTATTTCCTAAAAGAGCTCTCTTAGATTAAAATAATAAACTATGATGAAAACTTGAAAAGGTAGAAGTAATTTTTTTAGCTGTGTGTATCAATTTTAAACAATATTTATCTCTATTTTATGGAAGCTATGGAATTAGCATTGCCCCACATCTTTGTTAGTTTCTTTTTTAATGTTCAAGGTTTATGAAATTTGTAAGCTATTCTGTAGCTTTTTCCGATTTATTTAGTCCTGGTTTATATCTGAGTGACTCTAGTGCTCAGAACCTGCCTTTGTCCCATGGTTTCTCCACCCCTAAGTGCTTTGTTTTAACTCCTGTCTTAACTGGTTGTATTTTATCATTGGGCGTTCTTTTCAACAGGGCCCTGATTTGCTTTTCCGGAGATCGTGCCTTTCGAGTGTCTGTTACTGTCACATCTGAGTGACAGCTTGCTGCAGCATGACAGATTAGGAGTTGCGCACAGCCCTGAGAGCTGAGGACAGAGGAGCTGGCAGCATCTCACTCAGCCTGTGGGGTTCCGGGGGTCCAAAGGCAGCCACACTCAGGAGAGCGGGGGCAGCAGGAGGGGAAGGGGAGGCAGGAAATGTGTGAGGGTGGGGTGACGCTGCAGGAGGAGGAGGTCCCCTTTGTGGGTGCGGAGGAAAGGCTGCCCATCAGAGGACCGCCCCACGCTGTCCCTCTTTGATCAGCTGCACATGGAATCTGAAGGAGGGGGACAGAAGCCCCCACAAAATCACAGAGGCCAGGACGTGAGCAAAGCCACCCTGCCAGGGGACTGAGGAGGAAGTTCTCCCACCTGAAAGCCAACCCCCCAGAGGAATAAAGCGGGGTACCACTAACTAAATAAATCAGAACAGAAGCATGTGAAAAGGGGCAGCGAGCAGGGCGGAACGAGAAGCCGACAGGCGCAGCTGTCCGTGCAGAACACGCTCACCGCCTCAGGTGCAGGATGTGCTCTGCTCTTCAAGAACGTCCACCTGTTTCCTCATTCGGTCCTCACAGCAACCCTGCAAGGTCAACAGGACAAGCCCCATTTCCCAGAAGAGGGCACTGAGCTGGGACATGGCAAGGCTGCTGGTACCTGCTAATCCAGGGAGATTGTTCTATGTGATGATATGCAAAAGACAGTATGAAAAGACAACAAGGATAAAGCTAAGAGGGTTGAGATGCCTTCCACTGTGTGTTTCTGTTGGAGGCTTGTTGCAAGTAGAGGCTGGGGCCAGTTGTATAGATGATGACACCCATCATCTCTGGCCGCCTGGCATCCATCCCTTGCCCGGTATCCTGCCCCTTTCCCTTGGGAATTGCCTCCGGCCCCTCCTCACTGAGGGCAGTCTTGGTGCAAAGTAATCTCAGATGATTGCCTTTCACTGCAGAGATTAAGGGAGCCAAACTCATCCCAGGACAGCTAGAGTGGTGTTCTCTCCCCAAACTTTGAATCTTGAGAAAGTGCTCAAACCAAAAGCACAGATGGCTAGAGGCCATTCATCATGGCAGTGGGGGAGGTGGTCATGGCCATGACATTCACACTTGAGATAGAACATCTATTATATCTTTCCCATAAATCTCTATTTGTATAAAGAGGCCAAAGTTGCTTTCTGTTGCATGCAGCCCAGCACCCTAACTGATGCAAAGGATTAACAGACTTAAACCTTTCAAAGCTCCAGCCCCATACTTAGTCACCGAGCCCCTAAGTACACATCCAAGGAATTGGAAAGGGAGCAGAGAGGGATGAGTCTTCCTCGCAGACACAAGCGAGCAGATCCTGAACATGGCAGACGTTCAGTAGTCATCGAATCATAACGAGAGTTCTTAGAGCCTCCAGAATGGTGGACTGCTGGCTGCTATAATTTTTCCCTCCAGCGCTGTCAGCTCCCAGAGGAGGCTGCAGACAGCAAATGTGGAAGTCTTTCCTGGATCCCACCCCTGAAAGTATAGATCCTCTCCTGGAACCTGAAGGCCAGGCCATAAGCATGCCGGAGTCCACACCGAAATGCTGCAGCCTGAGACCCCATTATTAATGCTGCTGATTTCAGGTCCATTTCCTATCTGCAAGGAACATTTTTTTGTTTGCCTTCTTTTCAGATTGAAAAGGTCTAAATTGATAAGCAATGATGCATGTCGTTTTTGGCCAATTGCTCACACCAGCAAAAAATGTCTAAGATAAGAATGACAAAAATAGTAACAATGCCACTGTGACCTTTTAGCAACATGAAGGAAATCACTCTTCAGCAGGGATTTATTTTCCAGCTTTTATGTTTTTTGACCACAGAAAATAAAGAAAGCATTCCACCCTACCCTTTAATTCATGTTTGCCCCATTCAGTTTCTATTTCCTGGTAAATTAAATAGATGCAATTTACAGGCTTTTTTTCCTTTCCCAGCTCCTGTGAGCTCTGTTTTAAAAAGCCTCTCAACTCATACTCTACTCCTTCCTCCAAATCTCTAACCTTGCTTTTCAAAAGAGACCTTAAATAGAGACTGTTGACCTAGAGTAAGGTATCTTGCACACAGTAGGTGCTCAAAAAAGGCCGAGTTGGATTAAATTGAAGCACTGCCAGATCCTTGTCTTGGTCTTAGCCTGGTGAAGAATTACAGAATAGGGGAAATGTGCTGATCACAACTTGCCTCCCCAGTCTAGTTTCTTCTCCACGTTTGCTACCCGAGGCTTGAAACTGAGAACCCGGCTTCGGTCAGCATCCTCGGAAGGGCTCTCGAGAGGGACGGGCTCCTTCTCCCTAAGTGCTGCACTGGGAGTGAAGCACAAAGCCCAATCTGCACCTGCCGACACCGAGCCTGTGAGTGACAGAGGGGACCTTCTGATGGGGCCATCCTGGCGGGGCCTAGAGGTAAGAAGGGAGTCGCATACTTGCAAAATGAGAGCAGGGACCAAGCAGGCTACCCAAAGCCTTTGAAGTCACAAAATTGGTCATGAACCGAATAGCCGTTGCTTTGTGCCCCTCCCCATGAGCAGCGCTGCTCGGTGCGGTCCAGCCACCGCGGGCGGCCTACGGCCCCAGGCCTCAGCGGGAGCCTCCACGCTGCCCGCTGGCCTTCTTGGACCTCATTTTTATCTCTTAGCGGCTGAGGTTCAACACACACGTGTGTGCTCACACTGACGCCACGTGGGGTGAGTGAGACACGACACCGCGGCCAGCTCCGCCTCGACTCCGCTCCGGAAGCGACAGCTGTCAGCTAGCGAGAGGGGCTGCCTCAGCCGAGGGCCACGTCTCTGCTTCTGTTCCACACCCCAAGGAGCTGCCACCAGCCACGGCGAGAAAGAAGTGTGACACGCGATGGCGCCCGGCGAGACAGCCCTTCATTAAGCAGCAGAGTGTCTTCCCTCTCTGTGGGGAACGCCTTAGCAAACGTCAGACTCTGCGTTTGGGTAACAGCTGAAACACCTTTCCTTAAAGAAAACCTAAATGCAAAAGCTTATTCGAAACAACACCCTAAGGGAGTCCTTGGCTACCTACGCCCAGGCCGTGGGTTTGCGCCAGCCCTGCCTCCCCTCAAAGGGAGGCCGCGGTCAGGCCCGTCCACAGCTCCCCTTCCCGGAGTCAAAGGCCAGGGAGCAGCAGTCTCCGCGCAGACCGGTCTCGGAAGGCCTGGGAGCGAGGGCCAGCCGACTCGCCAAGGCCTCTGCGCGCCGAGGCTCTCCTGGGCTCCCATGGGACACCTGTGAGTGGAGCTGCAGCTCTTGGTCCTGCCCTGAGTCGATTCTGCAAATGTTTTAATTGATTCAAAGACAACTGAAACTGAGTTGGGTGATTTTGACATCAATGAATATACTCCGATAAAGTTAGCAGAAAGGGATTTTGAGTTAAGCGCAAGGGCAAAAAAGAGCTCAGCCGTTACACTTTCTGCTTTAAATTATGATAGAGCCTGCAGGCCAATGCCCCAGGGCTTATTACAGCTACTCAGAAGATGTTAAACCCACTGGGAAAAGCCTCTGGCTCTTGGGGAGAAATGTGAGTTAGTTGATGAGAGACGTGGATCCCCTAGCCAGGGGTCACTGGACTTCCCGTGGCGTGCCTCTCCGCCACGTGGAGGACGGCTGTCGGCGGCGCACCCAACCGGCTAACTTCCAAGCCAAGACCCCACGGAGCCCAGGCACCTGAGAGCGGAGGCTCCTCCAGCCTCGGCCCGCCCTCGCGCTTCCCGAAAGCCTGACTGAGAGAAGACTGCCCTCTCTGAGCGGGCCTTCCGTGGCTGAGCTCGCTGGCTGGCTCCGCCCGCGCCCTGCAGCAGGCTGCATCCACCGGAAGGGCTTCTGGAAGCTCGCCAGTGTCTCCAACATCAGATGTGCACGGGCCTCTTCTCGGGCCGCTGCCGTGGGTCTGCTGCCGTGGGTCTGCCTCTCGGAGCCACTGTCCCCTTGAGCTCCTGAGACACGGCTCCCTCTCAGGTCTCCTTTCCTCTGTTCTGCCTCAAGTCCCTCAGGCCAACGCCCTTTAGGTTTTGAGGCCCTTTGCGGTTCAGCGCGAGACATCTGGTCTGTATGTCTGACCGGCGTGCTCTCCCCTTCACCTGCTCACCGCACACGCTCACCGCGCCTGCCCTCTCTCCCAGGCGCCCTCCAGTGCGGGGCGCAACAGTGAACGCAACAGACCAAAGTCCTGCTCCCGTGGACTTGGATTCCAGTGCCAGGGCTGGCAGATTTCTGTGAAGGACCAGATAGTAAATATTTTAGGCTTTGCAGGCCATATGGTCTCTATAGAAACTACAGGTCTGTGGCTATAGCCCAAAAGCATCCACAGACAGTACAAAAACAGATGGGCATGGCTGTGTCCCACTAAAACTTCAGTTATAAAACACAGGTTGCAGGAAGGAGGGCTTAGGCCTGTTGGGAAAGACATGCCCTCTTTCTGCTGGAATGTTTGAGCTGATGGAATGAAGCTTGGGGGATCTTTGTCACAGCACAGGGAGAACATGCCTGAGGATGAAGCCGTCCCAGGGGAAGGCAGAGTGGAGAGTCCTCCTGGTTCTCATCACACGTTTGCAGCACCTGGATTCAGCCAGGTAGCCACGTAGGAAACCGCGTGCACCTCCTCTCCTGTGCCTTTGGTTATTTTGAGTCAGTAAACATTCCTTCCTCCTCCACTTTTGTTTTTTGTTTGTTTGCTTGTTGCCTGAGCCAGTTGAGTTAGGGTTCTTTCAGTCACTTGTAACCAGAGTCCCGACTAGTACAAAACCCAAACCCATTCTTGCACCTCTTTTCTCCTTAAGCTACATACTTTCCCTGGACCATCTCATCCACCTCCCTGAGTGTCTGCAGTCACCTCTACATAGACATCTTCATTTCAGGCCCTAACATTAGCACTGGGCCCATATTTCCTATTGCCTACTAGACATTTCACCAAGATATCTAGCAACATATCTGAAATGCAACTCAAACTCTGTTTCCTCTTCAGATTGTACAAATCTTTTGCCTTTTAAAACTCAACACATGCCCTCACCTCCATCCCTCCAAACATCTCCAGTGTTTCATAATAATATTAAAAATAATACCAACTATTGCTCTATGTAAGGCCCTTACTCTATGTAGGCATCATGTTATTTCTAATACTATTTCTAATCTTCCCAATTAACATGCAAGACAGATATTATAAGTCCCATTGTAGGACAGAGGAGGAAATTGAATCCCAGAGTCTAAGCTCATCATTTTTTTTTTTAAAGACAGAGTCTCACTCTGTTGCCTGGGCTACAGTGCCGTGGCATCAGCCTAGCTCACAGCAACCTCAAACTCCTGGGCTCAAGCAATCCTCCTGCCTCAGCCTCCCAAGTAGCTGGAACTACAGGCATGCGCCACCATGCCCGGCTAATTTTTTCTATATATATTAGTTGGCCAATTAATTTATTTCTATTTATAGTAGAGACGGGGTCTCACTCTTGCTCAGGCTGGTTTTGAACTCCTGACCTTGAGCAATCCACCCACCTCGGCCTCCCAGAGTGTTAGGATTAGAGGTATGAGCCACCACGCCCAGCCTAAGCTCATCTTATTAGTAAGCAACTGGCTTCATTTGTCCCAAAGCCCTGACGCTCTCCTATGCCAAGCTGTTCGTTGATGGCACCACTGTCCACTCAGTCCCCCAAACCAAGGACTCTTCGCCGTAGCATCTCTTCCATCTTTCTCTCTTCACAGCCACTGTCTTATGTGGAGCTGTTGTTCCTGAGGTAGCACAACAGCCTCCTAAACACTCTCTCCCAAGGCCCTTCCCTTCCGCTCCAGTCCATACTTCATCTCCTTACGTTATGACCCTTGAACAGCACGGGCCTGGGGGTGTTGGTCCACTTACATGTGAACTTTTCTCCAGCCAAACGCAGATCAAGAACAGAGTAGAGGAAGAAGTGCACCTGCCAACCAGAGGGGTGACGCTTTGTGTCGGCTGGTCCTCACAGCCAACTGCAGGACTTGAGTATGTGAGGATTCTGACACGCAAGGCGGGTCCTGGAACCAACCCCAGAGTGTGCGGAGGACTGACCGTAAATCCATGAACAATGAAAAGTTTTTGCACCTTGTCCCTCCCCTGCTCAGAAATGAGTAGCTGCTCCTACAGGACAGAAGCCAAACACCTTAGCTGGCAATCAAGGTCATTTTCAATCCAGCCCACAACCTACCTTTTAAAAAAAATTGTCTATATTGAAGGTGTACAATGTGGTGTTTCGATATACACACACATAGTAACATGGTGACTACAGTGAAGAAAAGTAACCTATCCGCATCCTGCCTCTTCTATCTTCTCTCCTACTCATGTACCATTTAGTACGTTCTTGATTTATCTACTACTTCCAGGAAATAACAGGTTTAATCTGCTCTTCTAGAACTACTGAAAACATTTCTGCTCAGAATGATCCGACTGCTATGTGATTGCATTTTAGGTCCCTTCTCAATTTCCCATTCTTCCACGGGGCACTCCATACTCTCACCTCCCTACTTCTGAGCTATTTTGTGCCTTCCACTCAGCTGGCAGTTTCCCTGTCAGTTATGTGCCACTTTGGAGCATTGTTGTCTTATTTGAATTGTTGGTATCTTGAACGTTGTCTCATTTCATTATTGAAGGCATGCAGTGCATTGTTGTTTAACTGCATCTTACTTGCCTCCCAGGCAGTAAGTTCCCGTAGTCAGGGGACAGGGTTATAACCCTAACCCCTACGTAGTTCTTAGCACATGTCTTATTGTAGCTCTGCCCAACGTGGGGTGCACACGAGAGCCTCCAGCAGAACTTCTGAAATGCAAATGCCATGCCCAGGACCAGATATTTAGATTTAGTCAGTCTGATGCGAGGCCCAGGCATTGTCATATATTAAATCTTTCCAGATGGTTCTAACATGCAGCCAGTGGTTAGAGTGGTTTAGCACACCGCAGACACCCAGAAAATGGCTGATGGATGCTTGCTTGATTGACAGATGTGGACCCAAATTTCATAATTAACCCAAATGTATTTTGCTCATGAACAAAGTGGCCAATCCAATAGACTTAGTGAGTACTAAGTGAGTACTGTCTGGGGCTGAGGGTGATAATGCTGAGGGCAACGATGATGATGGTGACGCTGGTAAAATCCCGGAACAAATCTCCCTGGCATCCCTTGTCCCAGCACCAGGCAAGAGTTCCCCAACAAGAAATCAGATCAGCCCCGGTTCGATGTTTGTGGATTCTTTTCTTCGATAATAGATGCCTCTCTTGTCTTCCCAGCCACTCCATACGGGACTGTTTGCAAGACAACAGGCTTCCTGCATCAGTGGAGCAGACTCGCTGGGAATAACCCAGTTCCTCCTCATCCCGAAGGCTGTAGTTTATAAAAAGCTTAGTTAATTTGTCATTGTGAGGAACTTTTGGACATAACTAAGTTCTTTCTTAATGAGACCTGGCTCTCAGGGAATGGGTAGGGACATGGCCCTTTAATCTATCACCTAAAACATTCTTGGAAGAAAAGAAGTTTGAGTCACTAGTTTCTCCTGTTCTTTAGAGACCTTTGCTAATGAGGCAGAGCCACGGGGCTTTGCTCGTTCTGAGCGGGGCCCACCCCCCGCACTCAGCGCCTACAGCTGCCCTCGGAGTGTTCCTACAGCCACTGAAGCGGGAGGATGGGGAGAGCATCTTTACCCACCACAGGGCCCCACAGGCATAGCCCAAGCATCTAGGACCTGGGCAATATCTGCCATTTTATAGCAGATCTGATTTAGGATTTATCTTGGTTAGAAGTCAAATAGATGCAAAAATTCAGCATGGTTTTTTCTTCTTGTTTAGGCCAACTTCCATTTAAAGCCAGAAGAAATCAGGACACATCTGAACAGATCAGAAACAGAGGAGCTCGAGGAGTCCTTAATTTAGGGCCCTCTCGGAGAACATGCCAAGGGACCAGAGCAGCGCCGCCGTCAGGAGCACAAGTTTCGGAGTCAGGCTGCTGAGTCCAAACTGGACTCTGCCTATGGACCTCACCTCTCTGGGCTCCAGGCTCCATGTCTATAAATCATATGATGGTAACAAGTATAGTAAGAATCCAGTTGGGCACGAGAGAGACTGGGTCCGTGGGAACTGTAGCAGCGAGGGTCCCTGTGGACAAGCGTGGGTCATGATGTTGACCCAAAGTTTTGCTCCCCGCAGACTGGCCTCTGTTTGGCACACACGTCTAAGGGAACCAGCTTTTCATTTCACTGGCCAATGGAGGGTCACGGGGATTTTTTTGTTCCCAATTCACAGGAAAGACCACCACTCAGGATCCAGTCAGAAAAACAGAAAGCACTCCGGGTCTTCCAGACAGAAGCAGTTTAATGATGAGAATTGGTGGCATTGGTGGCACAAGAGCCAAGAAGCCACAGGAGGACGGTGAGGTGGGCCAGAAATTAGCAGGTGCAGGAAGTGATTGTCACCTGAGGGCTGGAAGGACGGCAGGGAAAGATGGTGCCACGGGGTCCAGAAGCCAGGCCTCCAGGCAGGAGCCGAGCCCATGGCAGGGCTGCTGGGGAGAGCCCGGGGCCACGGCAAGGGAACCACGACCTGGGAGGACACAGCCACGGCCAGGGCACCATAGTAAGCAGAGAAATATGGGAAGAGACACCCTGGAGTCCCCTGCTCTCATTCTACCTTAGGAGCAAGGAAGTCCAGCCAGGACATGTAGTTTCTCCCGACACCGAGGGGGACAGAGAACGCAGGGAGCCATTTGTGGCAAGACAGGCAGCTGCAAGCTCGCTCCCTTCCCACTTCCGTATGCACTTACCTCCCCTGGAGCTGCGCAGAACTGTGTCCTGGGAAGATTTAAGACTCAGAAGGGTGTTTCTCACCTGGGAAGTGCCAGAAAGCACTGGGCAGGCGGAGTCCAAAGGTCCTGCAGCCGCACTCCTGGGGCTGTTCTGCTGGGAGACGGAATGCCATGGGCGGGGAAGAGAGGTGCTGCTGGCACTGGGGCAATTGGATTTGCTGGACTTCTTGTTTTTTTGTGTTTTGTTTTTTTTTTTGACAGAGTCTCGCTTTGTTGCCCAGGCTAGAGTGAGTGCCGTGGCGTCAGCCTAGCTCACAGCAACCTCAAACTCCTGGACTCAAGCAATCCTCCTGCCTCAGCCTCCAGAGTAGATGGGACCACAGGCATGCGCCACCATGCTCGGCTAATTTTTTCTATATATATTAGTTGGCCAATTAATTTCTTTCTATTTATAGTAGAGATGGGGTCTCGCTCTTGCTCAGGCTGGTTTTGAACTCCTGACCTTGAGCAATCCGCCTGCCTCGGCCTCCCAGAGTGCTAGGATACAGGCGTGAGCCACTGTGCCCGGCCTGCTGGTTTTCTTCAATTTTTTTTATCTGGCAAGTGCTTCAGTTCTTTTTATTATTAATCTGGGATTTTTTTTTCATGTTCTCTAGACATCTTTGGAAGATTAATTTAAAACAAATCTGTAGGATCTCAAGGCCCTAATTCATTTTTCTGACTCTTTGAACAAAGGACAACTATTATTTCCTATCAACAGAAAAGCACAACATTCTGAGTTAAAAGCCAGAAGAGCAGCCTGCCTCCTTGGCACTCCGAGGCTTAAGACAGTGGGGAGATCTCAGCACAGGCTGAGTTTCTCATGGGAGTTTTCACACAGTGGCAAGGGAGGAAAGGAAG